GGAATCCCCAGTGGAGAGGGGCTGGCCAGCGAGAGGCACAGGGGCCGCCCCACCACCTCTCAGCACTTTCTGACCCCTGCTGGCGTGGTCGGGAAAACACACCTGTGGTCTCGGATGGGAGTTGGAATGGCTTTTTTGTAAAAATAGTTTCCCTATAAAGCATCAAAAAACCTCAGGAAAACCTCAGCAAAGTTCCGTTCTCTCGAAACATTTGGATCGGCAGTTAAGGGCTGGCCTGGTCGTCTGGGCCTTGGCTTGGTTGCTATTGCCCCTGTGGCCCCCGGCCCTGGCCCCCGAACTCTGGGGGTAGCTCTGGCCCCACCCTGCTGCTTTCCCCTAAGAAGGGATGGGGCGGAAGGTGGGGAGAGCAGGGGGCTTTGGGGGCGTCCCTGGGCCCGGTCTGAGGGAATGGGCAAGGAGGTGGGGACGGCCAGGGGGGTTTCAGGGTGTCCCCTGGGTCCGTCTGACAGGGTATGGGCAGGAGGTGGGAGACGGCGGGGGGCTTGGGGCCATCCTGGGGTCCACCCTCCCCGTTGGAGGTGGCATGGGCAGGAGGTGGGACGTGGCAGGGGCCTTTGGGGGCGTCCCACCTGGGTCCGTCTGGAGGGCATTATGGGCAGGAGGTGGGAGACGGCAGGGGAGGTTTTGAGGTGTCCCTGGGTCCCAACCCCGTCTGGAGGGTATGGGGCAGGAGTGGGAGACGGCAGGGGGGGCTTCGGGGTATCCCTGGGTCCCTGAGGGATGGGCAGGAGGTGGGAGATGGCAGGTGGGTTTCGGGGTGTCCCTGGGTCCCCGTCTGAGGGATGGGCAGGAGGTGGGAGACGGCAGGGGGGCTTCAGGGTGTCCCCGGATCCCCGTCTGGAAGTTTGAGTCTTTGGTAATTGGGAGGGGAGGACAGAAGCAAAGCGCTGGGAGCTGGGAGTCCAGTGAGCGCCTCTATCACCGGGAATTCAGCCTGGGAGCGACCTGCGGGGCAGAGACATCAAGTGGTGAGGGGGAGACGGGGGGCCCCGGGTCGGGGGCAGAGAGACACCCAAGTGGTGAGGGGGAGACGGGGACCCCGGCACTCAGGCTTTTTTATCCTTTTTATGGAGAGTGGGGTCTCACTATATTGCCCAGGCTGGTCTTGAACTCCTGGGCTCAAGCTATCCTCCCACCTCTGCTTCCCTAAGGGCTGGGATTACAGGCGTGAGCCGCCGCACCCAGCCCCAGCGCTTACATTCACGAGTTTGAGGCAGGCAGGAGTGGTGGGGGCCTAGTGGTCTCCATCCTGGAGACTCGGACGTGACTCCCACAGGAATGCCCACCACCCTGGCCAGGGTGAGCCTCTCCTCCCTCCTGGCACCCCCTAATCATCCCGTATCTTCTCTGCATTACCGTGCTGCCTTTTTTTTTTTTTGAGACAGGGTCTCATTTTGTCACCCGGGCTGGAATGCAGCAGTGAGATCTTGGGTCTCACTGGAGCCTCAGCCTCCTGGGCTCAAGCGATCCTCCCACCTCAGGCTCCTGAGCAACTGGGAGTACAGGCGCCCGCCACCACACCTGGCTAACGTTTTTGTATATATATATATTTCAGGAGACAGCGTTTTGTTCTTGTTGCCCAGCCTGGAGTGCAGTGGCGCAATCTCAGCTCAACGCAACCTCCACCTCCCAGGTTCAAGTGTCTCTCCTGCCTTAGCCTCCCGAGTAGCTGGGATTACAGGCATGCGTCACCATGCCCTGCTAATTTTGTATTTTTAGTAGAGACGGGGTTTCTCCATGTTGGTCAGGCTGGTTTCGAACTCCCGACCTCAGGTGATCTGCCCGCCTTGGCCTCCCAAAGTGCTGGGATCACAGGTGTGAGCCACTGCACCCGGCTTTTGTATTTTTTTAGTAGATGGGTTTCACCATGTTGGTCAAGCTGGTCTCAAACTCCTGGCCTCAGGTGATCCGCCCGCCTCAGCATCCCACAGTGCTGGGATCACAGGCGTGGGCCCCGTGCTGCCACCTTTACAACTTTCTGCACTGAGGGGCGGGAACGGCCCCTCTCTCCGGCCCTCATGGGTGGGCCGGCGGATGGAAGAGGTGGTATGATGGCCTCTGGATTAAGGCCCATGGTGAGGTGCCCGGACTCTGCCCAGCACAGCCAAGGAAGGCACAGCCAGGCCATGAGCGGGAAAGCAGACCCCACTCACCACAGCCAGGTGCCCGTTCTTGGCCTTGGTGATGAGCAGCTCCGAGCCGGGGGTGAAGTCGATGGTACCATCCCTGCCGGGGCCCCCTGCAAACGTGATGCTGGAGGAACGGGGTGGGTGAGGGTTTTTCCATGGAGACAGACCCCCAACTCTAAGGTGGGCCCCCGCTCTGTTCCTGGATGCCCACAGCCCCCTCTCCACCCCCCACCCTGTCCCCGGGTGCCCACACAGCCCCCTCTCCACCCCCCACCCTGTCCCTGGGTGCCCACACAGCCCCCTCACCACTCCCGGCCCGCATCTCACCTGCCCTGGTTGATGTTGACGTTGTTCACGCGGTCGGCACTGATGGCTGTCTTGGTCAGCGTCTCAATCACATGGTCACTCTGCAGCACCACATCTCCCTGGGGGGCCAGGAAGGAGGGATCAGGCCCTGGCCAGAACTCGAGGACCCTCTGCCTCACCTCCCCATCCACCCCCTACCCCCATCTACCCCCCAACTCCTCCCCATCCAGCACCCCATTCACCCCCAATCCCCCCTACCCCCTCATCCCATCCATCCCCCCACCTCCGCATCCACCCCCACGCCCCCTCCCCCCCACCTCCTCATCCACCCCCACCTCCCCTCCTGACCTCAGGCGATCCGCCCTCCTGGGCCTCCCAAAGTGCTGGGATTACAGGTGTGAGCCACTGCACCCGGCTTTTGTATTTTTTTAGTAGATGGGTTTCACCATGTTGGTCAAGCTGGTCTCAAACTCCTGGCCTCAGGTGATCCGCCCGCCTCAGCATCCCACAGTGCTGGGATCACAGGCGTGGGCCCCGTGCTGCCACCTTTACAACTTTCTGCACTGAGGGGCGGGAACGGCCCCTCTCTCCGGCCCTCATGGGTGGGCCGGCGGATGGAAGAGGTGGTATGATGGCCTCTGGATTAAGGCCCATGGTGAGGTGCCCGGACTCTGCCCAGCACAGCCAAGGAAGGCACAGCCAGGCCATGAGCGGGAAAGCAGACCCCACTCACCACAGCCAGGTGCCCGTTCTTGGCCTTGGTGATGAGCAGCTCCGAGCCGGGGGTGAAGTCGATGGTACCATCCCTGCCGGGGCCCCCTGCAAACGTGATGCTGGAGGAACGGGGTGGGTGAGGGTTTTTCCATGGAGACAGACCCCCAACTCTAAGGTGGGCCCCCG